CCTAAATAATTAAACTATAATACAATTCTAATTCAAAGATATAGTTCTGTTTATTGATTATAATAAATACTTGATAAAATAAATTGGATAAGGAAAAGATGAGCATGAATAATTGAGATTCTGTTGAAAATTGATATTTCCGGTGGCATTTTGGTCAATGACTGAAGTCCGATATAGTCATTCTTTTAAGGGTGCCAGAGATTCCTATACCAACTGATTTCATTTTTAGCTTTCTCATTTTTTTCCTACTTACCCAGTAGTGCAGGTCGTTATGAGAAAGAAAATGGATAAAGTTTTGTATCAAGAGGAAAGAAGGAAAGTAATAAACATGACATAAACTGAGTGGCTTACACTTATAAATATATTTATAATATTTGCTCATAAAAGCAAATGAATTATTCTTGCATTGCTTTTTGCATTGTGGAAATAAGGTAATGTAGATCACCGGAGCATTAAGTGTAGTCAAAGGAATGGATAATGATGATGATGGCTTTCCTTTTATTGCACCCCTATCGTGTGCCAGCCATGCATTAAGTGCTTTACATACATCATTTCATGTGACCCTTGGAATAGCCCAGGGAAGTTGTGGTTCTTATGCACACCTGACAGCTGAGAAAATAGATTTAGTGAGGGTGACTTGCTTAGATTACACAAATAATTGGTGTCAGAAATCAAACTCAGTCCTGGAATCCCAAGCCCATACTCTTCCCCAGAACAATGTTCAACAGAGCCAAACATTTGCAAATAAAATCTTCATGGGCTGAATCATTTTTTCCTACAAAAATGTGTTCAAGTCCTTGATATGCTTAGGAATAAAAATATAGTTTTCCCAATGGATTTCTCATTGAACAGAAAATATTCAGGAAGACAGGATACCTGGGTGGCTCAGTGGGATAAAGCCTCTGCCTTCAGCTCAGGTCATGATCCCAGGGTCCTGGGATCGAGCCCCACATCGGGCTCTCTGCTCTGTGAGAGCCTGCTTCCTCCTCTCTCTCTCTCTGCCTGCCTCTCTGCCTACTTGTGATTCTGTCTGTCAAATAAATAAATAATAAAATAAGAAATTAATGTGCTTCAAAATTTCTGAAATAACTAAGTCCAGGAGATAATGTCTAGGAGATATCTATATCTAAATCTATATCTATTTATTGCTATGTATATTTATGTCTTACCTGTGTTGTGAGTGAATCATAATAAGGTGATGGACACACTGAGACATTTGTCATTTAAAATTTTTTTCTGGACAAAATGCCACTTAATTACATTTTTCAGGGGTGGCCAGATTCATACAAAGGATATTTTAAATTTAAATTTCTTACTTGTAGAAATTAGTAAACATTAGTAAGCATGGCCTCTCCTGGCCATTCAAGGCTGTTCTTAGTTACATAGACCACAGAACCAGGACAATCATTTGAGATGAGCCAGTATGTAATGGAGTCAGTTCTCCCTGTGAAAGGGCTAAAGTAATTCAACTGCAAGCCTAGCCCAAGTGCAGAAATCAGATTAATAAAGTAAGTTGCAGGAGTGGTTTCTAACATCATACTGATAACAACATGAAAGGGAGTCTGAAGGTCCCTTCATTTGTGAATAAAAAAGATGAGAGGTGACATAAATGCAGTTCATAATGTTATGAAGAGAGTGAGTATGGATTTACTTGAGATCATTAGTGAGTGCCTGATTTATGCTTTACTGCAGTTTATTCCCTCAGTGTGGAACACTGTCTTTGGTTCAGTGCCTACAAAGATTAGAGATACACTCTGCCTTCACTGAGGAGACCTCCTTTGTGAGGAAGGCAAAGTGTCTACCCAGTGGTGAGCACATAGTAGGCTCTCAGTAAATATCTGTTGAATCAATGTTTTGACCAGATATGGGGATGAAGAGTAAAAGTGTGTGGAGTGTAGCGAGTGCTGTGATAGAGGAGGGTAGGATGCAAAGAGGTGCTTGGCCTCCTGCTCCAGGTTTAGAAGATCAAGCTCCTTTAGGTGTGACCTTTGAGTCACATCTGAAAAGGAATTACATAGAGAAGAAGGGCTAGGAGGAAGGCAGAAGGGAATTTATGGATTATAACAGGTACAAAGACAGGGTGGTAAGAAAGAGCATGACAAATTTAGGGAACTGGATTTTAGGTATAGGTGACATTGTGTTGAAAGAGGAGAAGGAAGATCAGTAAGGGTGACTTGAGGAAAGCCATAGATGCTCACAGAGAAGTTCTATTTTCATACAGACACTGGATTTCAAACACAGCATTGCCATAAAACAATAAAGGAAATAATAATTAATACTTACATAATGCTTACTATGTATGAAATATTTTATGTATTTTAATTCATTTAATCTTCCCATATCCATCCTAGGTGAGAACTGCCATTTTAAAAATGAGACACGAGAAATATAGGGAAGTTAAGTAACTGACCCAAGATCATACATCTAATAAGTGACAGTGTGGGGCATTGAACTCAGAGATCTGGCTCCAGAACCCACGCTCCTAACCCACTGGGGTATACTGCCTCTTAATGCAATGTCAAGTTTAGTGTAAATTGCTGTCAATAATGATCTTTAAAGTAGTCCAACTAAAGAATTATTATTTTTGTGATAATACAGCTCTCCTGACCTTGCTTTCCAGCCGACTTTCTCAAGCTGGAGAAAAGATATGTAGAAATACCTGGCACAGTAGGAATTCTATGTAGCTCAGAGCACATTCACGAGAATGTGTTACGTGAGTGGCGTTCTTCCGTCTTGGGTATGATCGTGTTAAAAAAGATTGAGACTGCTGTTAGAGGAGATAAGAGGTCATTCAGTAAGTGATGTAACATTGGGGATTTTAGTTAGAGAAATTAAATATTCCTTTATTCATGAAGAAGATGACATCATAAGTTTTCAAGTGGTATATAAATGTCGGGGAATTGTTGAGGATGTTAGTATGAGATTCGTAATAGATAGGTATTTTTTTTTCTATCCAGGAATCATCCCCATTTGAATTTCCATAACCCCTTGTCTAGATATCACTTAAAGAATTTCCAGCATCCTCTCTATTACTCTGCATTGGTGTGTACTGGAAATACATATGGAGTAAATAATAATCATCACAATAATATCTAATTATCCCATGCATTGTTCGGTGCGCTAGATTGCTATTTGTTCATTTAATTCTTATAACAACCCTATGAGAAAAGTGTCATTATTATCTCCATTTTTCAGATGAGGAAACTAGCATTTAAAGGTTATGCTGCTCAAGGTCATTAGGAGTTAGGTTTTGGTCAGCTATGGCAAATGAGTTTCCATTTGAGTGTCTGTGGAGTAGCTAACATAGTACCGGTTGATTAGAGCCCTCTTATTTTATTCCCTAATTCCTCATTTCTTTCTTGATTTATGTATAAAGTCACTTCCCAAATGGCTTAATAATAATGATTTAAATGCATATGACTCTTCTAGGACTTCAAAACATGTTCATATTCATCGTTAAGTCCCTACATGACACGTGAATAAAAAGAGACACACACAAGTCGTGGAAATAAATGGGAAGTGGAGTTAGCATGGTCATGCGGGTCTTGACTCTCAGACCAGTGCTCTTTCCTTTAGGCTGTGCAGTCTCTTATGGCTTTAGGAGTCTTTGCAGATGCCAAGGATCTATGGTCTCATCAGAGACTTCACACTGTGTCCAAATTTTTAAAAAGATTCCAGAGAACAGAGGAAATCAGACATCTCTGCATTAAATACTTGGAAAGCACCCTTATTGCTACTGTGTGATTGTGATCATATTTACTTGCAAGTTATTGTCTTAATTCATCTATTTTGTTTGATAAACTTAAAGGCTTTAGAATTTTGTGATTATTGGTATTAGTTAAAAACTCTGCAAGTAGAATAAGGAACTCATTATAAAGTAAAATTATAAAATGGACATATACAACTGTCTGTAGTATATATTTTGGGAGAATACAATAGGAAAAGAAATAGCAAGGAGGAGACACTTTCTAGCATGGTATGGAAATTAAATCCAATATGCTGCGACAAGAAATTCAGGGGAGAGGGCCTGCAGAGAGAAGATAGATACAAAGAAAAGGGATTGATGTCAGGTGAATTTGTCAAGATAGCAGAGTCATCCAACAAGAGGAAGTGGGGGGGAGGGAGAAGCTAAGGACTGGTAGAGAACGGGAAGGTCTCTTCAGATAGTGAGGCTACATGCAGCGAAGAAACATGGGGGTAGCAATCCCTTTCTACTCTTAAAACCTGTGATTCTGGAACAGTTAATAAGAGGGCAAGTAAAAATGAGCAGAAGCTATGAAGAGAAAGAAGAAAAGCTGAAAGCTTCTTAGAGAAATGGGAGTTTAGAAAATATTGCATTGCTTGCAATTTCATGCATCTTGCTGCTGTGCCCTGGTGAACCAGGGGAACCTTTATGATCTGAGTGGAGTCGGGGCTTCCCAGTGATTGCTGTCTTGCCCATTGGGAGGTTCCCAGCAGTGGCCCACATTGATATACTCATGGGCAGAGGTAACAGAAGCAGGGGCTGAGAAGAGAAATTGAATAGGGAACTGCTTTTGAGTGGAGTTCAAGTCTGAATAAAGTCAAACCTGAGAGAATGTAGCTCAGATATTCTCCTGCCAGGTTTTGAGTTGCTGTTTGTAGTTCACATTCTGCAGGAGGTGTTGTGCTTCAAGACATTTACACTCGTCTCTATTGACTGTCACTCTGGGTAGCCAGGATGGAATATTCAGCTTATCAACTTATATTTATTTAACTGTTATGTACATTGCCTAACTTGGATACTCACCATTTACTTTCTAATGTGCATAATAAAGCATGTCTTCTTCCTATATGTATGTCTGGGCTTCTTTTTGTGTAGAAGATATTATGCTATCAAGAATGACCTTGTAAGGATTGCTATCTTCATATCTCTTACTACACACAATATATTTTTATCTACCATTCTTTTGTAGGGAAAAATAAGCTCAGTAGGCTATCTCACTAAAACTTTATTAACATTGTTTTCTAAACATTTATAGGTAGTGCTGGGACACCTGTCACTTTTAATGAAAACGGAGATGCCCCTGGACGTTATGATATCTTTCAGTATCAAATAACCAACAAAAGCGCAGAATACAAAATCATTGGGCACTGGACCAACCAGCTTCACCTAAAAGTAAGTATCAATATAGATTTACATTAGTGTATGTAGTTCTCGAGGAGAAATGCTTCATTTTTAAGTTCATAATACAAGTGTTGTTAGAATTGTCTTGTAATTATGTTTTTTAAAAATGTATGTTTTTATCCTTTCTTCAGCTTTAAAATGTTACGGAAAATCTCAAATGTCTATAGAGAAATCTGGTGTCTGGAGGGATTTAATGAAAGACCTCATTTCCTTTTAAGTGACTTCATTGTATTTAAGGAAATTTTGCCCTTTTCTGAAAGACTTGCTTGTTTAAGTGTTGGTATACTCTACACGTGGGGTGTGTGTGTGTGTGTGTTGTGCATTGTGTGGGAGGAATGACAGTGTGCGTGTATTTCACCTTTGCCATCTCATAAATTGAGACCTTATGCCTACATCTGATTGATGGAAGTGAATCATGATCTGTATTTACATTACCTCTTTGAATTGTGACATTAGAGAAAGTTAGTGTACCCAAAAGTGATGTTTAGATAATTTGACAGCCTTTAGGGCTGACTGCTGTCCCTGTCTACCTGGGGTGTCATCAAGGCCCAAGACCCACAGATCTTGCAGTTTCTAGAAATAAGTGGCCATGTGAGGAAAACTTGGAAAGCCTAGCCTAAGTCGGGTCCCAGGGCCTGCGGGTGGTGCCAAAGGTAGCTGGGCATTTCCTGCCTTGGTGTCACCAAGGACACAGAGGGCTCTGTGTCCTCCTACTGGGCCTGCTGGGGCCCCAGTGGGGAAGCATGCAGCATAAGTGTGGGGTAGAGGAACCTCATCAAATGTGCCTGGCTGGTGGCAGCCCTCCAGGGGGGATCCCCTAGGGGTCTGTGGGGATATTGGAGAGAGCTATGTGGTATTGGCACCCACCAGTTAGAAGGGGCTCTGGAGCAGGATGCTTATCCTGAACCTGAGGGACAAGGGATGCCCAGAAAGGGACCAGGACTGTCAGTGGCTATTTGGGAGGGTATGGGGGTGCTTGGAGCAGCATCTGCTTATCACTAGATAAGGAATGATTTCACCTTTCAACAGCCCATAGTGTGGCATCAGCGCACACTGGCTTCTTCCAGTATAGAGAAATAAGGAGTGTGCCCTATAGTCTCAGCTAAGGATTGGAGTTCTTTCGTGGCACACATCTTTGACAGTTATAAAATGACTGAGGGGCTAAAATAAACTGAGGGGCTGAGGAATTCTCGTTCCAACAGCGTGTTTCCTCTGGAGGCAGAAAGGTGCTTTTTTTTTTTTTTAAAGATTTTTTTATTTATTCACTTGACAGATAGAGATCACAAGTAGGTAGAGAGACAGGCAGAGAGAGAGGAGGAAGCAGGCTCCCCACTGAGCAGAGAGCCCGATGCGGGGCTCGATCCCAGGACCCTGGGATCATGACCTGAGCCGAAGGCAGAGGCTTTAACCCACTGAGCCACCCAGGCGCCCCCAGAAAGGTGCTTTTAAATGCTTCAAAGAAACTAGAAACATATCGGTCTACTGTCTATGGTTCTAATATGCATCTCGTTCTTTCCTATAATGAAAGCATCTCCTCTTCTTGATTCTCAAAGCCATCACAATGCTGTGAGGATTGAGTTTACTTCCTAAATGAATAGTTAACTTCATTTCCTAGCCGTGCCTTATCCTAGCTAGAAGGTAAAGGCTTACGGCATACAGGAGGGAGGAGATCATTCTTGTCTGTGTGTGTGTAACACTTGTACATGTGCTTTCTTGTGTTTGAACCCACTCAAAAGATATAAGTTTGGTATTTTTAATACATCTCCTACTTTCTGTGTCTCCAAATATAGTGGTATGCTTATGTAGCATCAACCACCAAAAGTTTCAACAAGGAAGCAGATGATGAAAAATAATGAAACTGGGATATTTATGATCTACTGTCTTTGAAATGACTTCCTGATAATTATCACACTTCTGCCTTCAATAAGGCACAAAGACAGCTGATATTTCCAACTACTGTTGTGCTCTGTAAGACCACAAATCTACAGTTTACTAAATGTAGCAGCCTGAGGAAATCTTATCTATTCTTCTGCAACCCAAACTGACATTTATCAAAGCATTGTTTTGATAACTCTATAGGTTATTAATGCCAATCTGAAAATCAATAGCTTTGTGGCAAAAGCCCTTTTGAAAGTGGACTTATGTGGAATAAAATAATTACACATGACAAAGACAATTTGTAAGGGTTAAAATAGGGAAGCTACTTTTTATCTGATGTTTATTAATGCCAAACTGCCTATTATATTCTTGTGATCAACATGTACATTAACATGTACATAACAAAGTTCAATGGTTGAAAAACATGAGCACTAGTATATAACTCTAAGATACCTAAAATATTTATACATACAAGTACGTATACACAGACACATCTCTCTATGTGTATGACTTATTTATTATAAAACTTCGTATTGAATCTCAAGCTTCTCTTTTATGTACATTTAACGGTGCATGAAAGTTTTATGTTTATTCTTGTGTTATTGTTCATCAAATATATCCAAACAGTTTGTAAGAATTATTTCTCATGCATGATTATGATCATTTATAACTAGATAACAGTTCTGTTTTTACCGAAACAGAGAGAATGTATCTCTCAGGAGAAAAGTAAGTGAATTAGACTGGGCAGAGAGATTATACCTCAAGAGTTGACTTCTGGAGCCCAGCTGGACAAATTGTTTCTCCTTGGATCAGTGACCTGTTTGAAGGTCACCTGTTTGAAGGCGTACAGGGTGTTTGGAACGTGACCAATTTATTAAAGTTCTGCTTAGATAGTAGTCAAGGCATGGAACAAATGCTTTGCTTTTGTTCTGTAAACAATGGAAACATTAGTAACACCTATCTTATATTAGGTGTTACTAATACTTATATTAGTAACACTTATCTTATGTGGTTGTAATATGAATGAAATGAAACAATACAATAAAGCATTTAGTCCAGGACTTGGCACACATGAAATGCATAGATATTACCTATTTTTTTTTAAGATTTTATTTATTTATTTGACAGAGATCACAAGTAGGCAGAGAGGCAGGCAGAGAGAGAGGGGGAAGCAGGCTCTCTGCCGAGCAGAGAGCCTGATGTGGGGCTCAATCCCAGGACCCTGGGATCATGACCTGAGCTGAAGGCAGAGGCTTTAACCAACTGAGCCACCCAGGCGCCCGATATTACCTATTATTAATCCAGAATTAATTAGAATTAATTAGAATTAGAATCTCGTGATTCTATATGGCCAGTGGGAGAGCCCATAATCAATGTGGTGAGCAGAGCACTGCTTATTAGGGGGGCACTTGGATTTGCTTTAGAAAGTTCTAAGAGTATCTTTTCATTAAAATGTGGACCATTTGTCTCCATCGACACTCTTTCTGCCTATCTTTAATATTGGCTTTAATACTCTAGAAAATCTATCTATGCTTAAAAAGTAACCTTTCTGTAAGACAAATACAAACTTTCGTTTTGTATGGTAGCGTATGGCGAGGTATTATCAGCGAGGCAGCTATTTTTTGAATGGATTGGATAAATTCATTCCGTGCACGTACTCGGTGCTAAGGTTTGAGACAAGGCTGAGTCACTGGCTCTCAGGGCACTCACAGACTGGAAGGATAGAAGGGCACTCAGACCACCAACGCTAGTGCAGTGAGGCAGGTGCACGGAGCATGGGGCGTGCGTGGTTTCGCAGCGTCAGCCCAGAGAGAGGTTCCTAACCTGGCCTGACTGCTGAGGAGAGCAGTTGACAGACAGGGGACGATAACCTCCCCCATGTGCTCCATCTCTCCTTAATCTATTAAACCAGTTTTACAATAGATTTTACACTCTTGGGGGTAAGCATTTAACAGCCAGTCATCGGACTGAATTGTTTGTACTTTCAAAAAAGCCAGTTTTTCTGGCTGAACTCAACCATAGGACAATTCTGTACGCAGAGTGTACAGTTAAGCGTATATGAGTGTGACGAATTTGCCCTGAATGTACCTTTAGTATAGTGAAAGAAGTTTTAAAACGAGTAGGTTTTTTTTTTTCTTTTTTTCCTGGAAAATTATGAGGTGTTTTATTTCCTCGAAAGCATTGTCTTTATTCTTTCAAATATTATTGTTTCTTTTTCTTTATTATGAGACTAACATATGTTCTTAATTCAGCAATTAGAATCTGTTAGTGTAATTGTTTAGTTTGATTTAGGTTTTCTATTCAGTCATCTCAGTCCATGCATGAAGGGCATGTTATCTACTTGAGAGTGAATTTGAACAATTAGGTCTCTCCATTTTGTTTGGCTGAGTCTCTCAAGAGGCAGGTGGTCCTGATTAGTGATTATAAAACATTTTGTAACCTAGAGGTTCAGAATAAACAGCCGAGCCTGAATTGTGAGAAGAAGAGCCATATGCTGCTCAAAGTCCACAGGGAGAAGGTATATGGAGGTTACTGGATGTGCCTAAAATAATGTAGGGTTCACTATTTTACACTTCCAACCAGAGCTACGTGGGTGGTTGTTGTTGTTTTGTTTTGTTTTGTTTTATGGTGGGAATGAGACATATGTTTTTGCTTGTCTTATTGTCTTGTTTTCTTCTCTTTTTATTCAAGTTAATAATTTGGAGAAAAATAAGTGTAGTAAAGGACCATGGTTTCATTAGAGTGTCTCAACCATAGTTATTAGAGTCACAGTATCAGTTGGGAAGGGTGATTTGAAGCCAAAGGGCTTCACTGACCCTGATGTAATTTTGTGTAGGTTAGTCCATAAAAGAGAGTTACTCTTGACCAGGTACTAAATCCAGAGTCTCTGTTTTCTCATCTGTTAAGTGGGGATAATAAATAGGCTTACTATGAAGACTGAACACACTAAGATATAGTGGTCAAACATGAGACCTCAGAGGTGCCTGGGTGGCTTAGTTGGTTGGGTGGTTGCCTTCCTTTGGCTCAGTTCATGATTCCAGTGTCCTGGGATAGAATCCCATGTCAGGCTCCCTGCTCAGTGGGGAGTCTGCTTCTCTCTCTTACTCTCTCTC